TTCATCAGCTACTTTCTGAGGCTGAACTCGTGATCAATTTTCTGAAAGGTCAAAGGCGCTTATTAGGTGCATTGAGACACATGTCATGGATAACCGTTCAAGTATCTTTCTAAATCCCCTAATTTCAACTGTCATTAATGCTTATAATCATGACTAATTATTTCTCTCTCTTACTGTTTACGTTTTCAAGAAAACTATTTAAACTCAAATTTTACTTTTTACATTCACTTCTTTTTACTCTCATCAATATTTTCTATTGTTTCAAGCTCTTGTTTTTCAAAAACCCCTTTCATCTTCCTCAAAATCACGTGTGAACAATGGCTTCTTCAAGTGTCAAAAATGTCAGTGCTCATGAATCTGCTTCAATGGAACAGTATGAAGAACCCTACAGAACGCTCCTCACTCCCATTGATAATCTGGAAGTTCTCTCATAACTGATTATTGACTTTGAAAGCTTGCAAGAAAATGGCTTCAATCTGTATGAAGACGTTACTACTCAAGGTTGGAACAAGTACTTTGACCGTCTTCTGGGGCCAACTTTTCCAATTCTTGTCAAAGAATTCTAGATACATGCTTCTTCTTCAAATCATCAGGTTACCTCTTATGTCATGGGGAAGAAAATTGTTATTACAGAAGACCTAATTGCAAAGCTTCTTGGATACAATAATGGAGGTGTCAGATGCATTGACATGGCTGAGAGATGCTTTAACGTTAGCTCTATTGCAAGGGAAATTTTTACTCATGGACTACCCTCCAGCAAAATTAGAGATCTGAAGGATCACCACAGAATTTGGGCAAGAATCATTCTGGGGTGTATCAACCACAAGAAGCCAACTAGCTCTCTGATTATATCAACATTGATCAACAATTTCTGATCTATTTCATTGCCAAGAGGACTAAGGTAAATCTTCCACACTTGTTGTTTAATCATCTCAGAACTAGTGTGAAGGAAAAAAGAGAAGACGAAAGGACCAAGAGGGAATGGATACCCTTAGGAAGGCTCATATCAGATATTCTGACAGAGAATAGGCTGATAGAACATTTGACTGAGGCCCAGGAAATCAGCACATTGGAAGCAACCACTGGGAAGCCCTAGAACGCTAAAAATATGAAGAAGATGAAAATCATTGAGAATATTAAGAAGGAACCTACTGTTACTTCTTATGCAACCATCACTTCAAGAAGGATACCTCTGGATGATTTTCCTCTATTTTCTGAGATTGACTCCAAACCAGAAATAATAGTCAGATATCTGGACGTTTGTAAAGAAGATGGTACTGCACCAGAAATCAACATCCAGGATTTGCATAAGGATGCTCCAGAAGTTGCTTTAAAGAAGACTAATAAGAGGAAAGCAGCAGGAGAGGGACCATCTCAGAGGACACCAAAAGCTGCCAAAAAGAAAGGTAATCCCTTCACTGTTACTGTTATAGAATCAATACATGTATCAACATCTGAAGCCATGCCTTCTCAACCAGAAAACCCATCACCACAAACATTTGAAGACTTTGACATAGGGTTCGATCCATCAGAAACTCTAGGTCTGAATGAAACTCACTCCCTTTCTCAAAATCCAAATCATGAACAAAACCGACCAGAACTTGCCAAAGTTTTGTCTGATATTGATTTATTTGACCAAGACTTTTCCGCTCCCTTACCACTAAATCCAAATTCTCAACTCCCAGAAAATCCAAACTCTGATACCACACCAGAAATTCTGCAACCACACTCTCCACAAACAGAAATTCCTCAACAAGAAATTCCTCACCGACAATCACCTCAACCAGCAATTTCTCAACCAGAAATTTCACAACCACAATCACCTCAACAAGAAATTCCTCAACCAGAAATACCACAACCAGAAGATCTGAACTCCAACTCACCTCAACCAGAAGCTTAACCTTATGAAAATCAATCTTCTACTATCCATGAACCAGAACCCCATCATGTTTCAACAAACCAATCTGAAGAATCTCCTTCAGATTCTGATGCAGTCCCAATACCTAGAATCATAGAACCTCTTGCGGTTCGCATGCCTCTCACCATCCACGACATTCCAGAAATCCCTTCATCTCTGGAATCCATTCCTCCAAACACCCCCACTAGACCAATCATTATTCTTGACTCTCCCACTCCTTCACCTACTAGCCGACCAGCTGACAACTTGAGACTTGTCATTGATCCAATCTTGCTGGAAAGATTAACCTCCACATTTCTCAAAACTACCATTCCCAAACCCAAACCAACTGAAACCACATCAGACCATTCAGATGTTGGTACAAATTTATTAATTTTTGAAACAAGAATGCAGGAATCGATAACTTCTTTGAAGCATGCTAGTCAAGAGATGACTAATCCTGCTGCTTCTGATTATATGTGGACAAGATTCAGAAACTGGCTTAGTTCTGAAACGCTGAAGCTGAAGGAACAGAGTTATGAACATGTTCAACAGAACTTTAGTGATAAGCTGAAGGCTTTTCAAGACCAAGTTATGACCCAACTGTTCAAGAAAGACATCCTCTCGCTGGATAATGCTCCTTAGAAAGAGCATCATCCTTCAGATGAAGTTCAACCAGAATCAGAAAGTCTCTCCCTGACTGCTGCTCCAGAAGACATGATTATAGCAGAAAAAATGGTTCACTCTGAACAAGCTGAAGAATGCTCTGAGCAACGTCCAACTCCTAAAGAAACTCCAACACCTTTCTTAGTTATGCAAACTCTGGAAGAGTTGAAGAAAGAAAATGCTCTTATCCATGCAAGATTGGATAAGCAGGAGGACACAAACAAAGAGATTAAAAGTATTCTGGGTAAACAGAAAGACACTACAAAGGAAATCAGAGGCATCTTGGGCAAGCAAGAAGAGTCTAATACTCAGATCAAGAGCTTGCTGGAAGCGTTGTTCACACGTCTTCCCCCTCCTTCTTAGATTTCTTTTTGAAAATTGTTTATCTGTAACCTTTAATTTTTATCTCTTTTTGTTCTGGAACTTGTCATTGCATCATGTTTTTTTAATATAATTCAACTATTTTAGTTCTGATTATATTACCTTTTTGATAAATGACAAAAAGGGGGAGAAAGTAAGATATTTTCAATAATGGTTTACCGAGAAAAAGTCTCAAACATTCTGAATTACTTAACCTTTATCTTCTGAAAAGTTTGAACAAGTACAAATTCTGATGAAAGATGCAGCTAAACTCTGATGCTCAAGGAACTTAAGGGAAGTAATCAACTCAGGGGGAGTTTCTCTTAAACCTTTTGTTCTTTATTTTTAATTGAAAAATTTAGTTTTTGTCATCATCAAAAAGGGGGAGATTGTTAGAACATAATTTGATTCTACAACCCTTAGTTAGAGTTTTGATGCACCCTAAAAATTATGTTTTGTGTATGCAGAAGTTCTGACCCAAGCAGTATCAGAAGATAAGCCATAAGAGCTACACGCTGAAGCAATCAGAACATGCACTGAAGATTGATGACCAGAACCCGCGCTTAAGCAAAGTAAACTCTGTTTCTGAACAAGAACATGTTAATCCAAGTCATCAATATTCTGAAGCGTCAGCAGCAGGCAAGGATGTAAGATTCTGAAGCGTTACTGGTCATTCAAGACAGCATCAATTCTAACGGCTTCTTTCAGACAGGATCTTCTCCAAATGGAAAGTGAGTTAATGACATTAAACATGCCTGATGATCAATGTTAATCCACTGCCTATATAAACAAAGTCAGTAGTCAAAATCGTTGACGATTTGCCATTACCACTCACGCATATTCAAAGCTGCAAGCAATATTCTTTATCTTTCCAAGCTATAATCTTGTGTAAATTATCACAGTTGTGATAACAGTTTTTGTAAGAAAAACAACAACACACATTGTTGTATATTTGTTTTGAAACAGTGTTTCTTGAGATTAACAGAATTGTGGTTGTACTCAAGAAGACTTTAACAGTTGTTAAAGTAGTGATTGTGATCCTTTTGTGATTAGTGAATTAAGGCCTCGTTGGAGAGAGACGAAATCACCTTGACGGGTGGACTGAAGTAGTTTGAGATCAAACGAACCAGGATAAAATACTGTGTCATTGTGCTTTTGATTTCAAGTTTTTCAATTCACCCCCCCCCTCTTGTATTTTTTACATCTTCATGAACCACATGCCCCGTTTCCCTGCAATGGTTGGAAAAGACAGACAAATTTTCATATTCTATATCAGAGAAAAATGCAAATCCTTCTATTTCAACCAAAACATTATGGTTTAGAGGCAGAACCAGATCCATATCAACTAGCACTCTCACAAAATGACCAAACGTCCTATCCATCCTAGGTTTTGCTGAAGCTGAGTCAATACAGATCGGTGTCTTGACGCAACTTGTTATCGCAAAGAGAATTTGAGACCTCAAATACTCTTGAGAGAGACCAAAGAAGCGAACCCAGACTTAAGTGGAAATGTTACTTTATAAAACGAAATTGAAATCTCTCGTCCAAATAAAAAGTTTCAAGAATCCAAAATTCAAACTTATCCTAAAGCTCTAACGTTGCGCATAAGAGTTAAAATTATCAAAAATTGTGAAAATGAAAAATGTCAAATAAGAGTTAAAATTATCTTTATTTTTTAATAAATCAAAATATATTTAACTTTTCATTATACTACATAGCTAAAAAAACAAATTTAACCTTTCATTATGTTTTTCTTTTCTTGAAAAAAAAAACCTTTCATCATGTTATAGAGGTAAAAGTGGGAAGAAGAGTTGGATTTGGATTGGAAGCCCAGTTCTCAGTTTGACTCCTCTTTGTGTACCTCCTGATTATCACGTGATCCCTGACCCAGCTGCTCCCAACTCCTTTTGTCACGTACCGCTCGCTTCTCTCTCACTCTGTCTCTCAACTCTCTACTATAGTACTCTTCTTAAATCTAAAAAAACTATTCTCCCATAACCAATTTAGCAACCACATGAAATGTAAAAATCAGCAAAACAGTAAACAAGCTTGTTCATCATCATTCATCTCTTAAACAATGGCAACAAAGGAAAACCACTCAACCAAATGGATAATCCTCTCACTGTTACTCCTCTCAACTACACTCTCCAACTCCTCCAAACTCAAAACAACACATTCACCTCATTCAGATCCTACTTCCCTCTTAGCATTCAAATCAAAAGCTGACATAAACAACCACCTCAACTTCACCACCAAAACCCCTTTCTGCAACTGGCAAGGTGTACAATGCAACGGACCCAAAGTAGTCCGTCTCATCCTCCGAAACATAGATCTCGCCGGCGTCTTCGCTCCTCACACATTAACCCTCCTCGACCAGCTCCGTGTTCTCAGTTTACAGAACAACTCCCTCACCGGAACCATTCCCGACCTCTCCGGTCTCTTCAATCTCAAAACGCTCTTCCTTGATAACAACCACTTCTCCGGTTCACTTCCACTTTCTCTTTTCTCTCTTCACAGAATTAAAACTATAGATTTCTCTCACAACAATCTCTCTGGGGATATACCTGTAGATTTCATAAACCTCGACCGGCTTTATTATCTTCGTCTAAGCTTCAACTCTTTCAATGGTACTATTCCTCCTTTTAATCAGTCTTCTCTCCGAACTTTTGATGTCTCCGGTAACAATCTCTCCGGCGCAGTTCCGTTAACCACCGCGCTATCGCGTTTTCAGCCGTCTTCTTTCGCTTTAAACCCTAATCTCTGCGGAGAAATTATTCGGAGAGAATGTCGTCCTACAACGCCGTTCTTTGCTCCTACCTCATCTCCGACGGTTGGAATCGGTCAGAGCGCGGATGTTCACGGTTTAATCCGGCAGCCGTACGAGAAGAAACACAAACACAATCGGAAAGCGGTGATTATCGGATTCTCCACCGGAATCATTTTTCTAATACTTTCCTTGACATGTTTCGCGGTGGTGGTTAAGAAACAAAGAAAGAAAAATGGTAAAGGCTCTTCCGGTTCGAGCGTGATGGCTTCGGATGCAGCGGCAACGGCGGAAGCTGCGGTTGTGATGCAAATGGAGCAAGAGAGGGAGTTAGAGGAAAAGGTGAAAAGAGCTCAAGTTGCTAAGAGTGGGAGTTTAATATTCTGTGCGGGTGAGTCGCAGGTGTATACGCTGGACCAGTTGATGAAAGGTTCCGCGGAGCTTTTAGGTAGAGGGTGTTTGGGTACAACTTACAAAGCAGTGTTGGATAACCGTTTGATTGTAACGGTGAAGCGTTTTGATTGTGGGAAAATGGGTGGACACGTAAGCAAAGAGGTGTTTGAGCGTCACATGGAATCAGTTGGTGGTCTTCGGCATCCAAATTTGGTTCCTCTTAGAGCTTATTTTCAAGCAAATCATGAGAGACTCATTATCTATGATTATCAGCCCAATGGCAGTTTATTCTCCCTCATACATGGTACATTACAATTCCTTTTTATTTGTCTCTTGATTCTTTTTGATGATTTGATTTATTTTAAGAAATAATATAGTATTGGATGTTGATTTGATTTATTTTAGGAAATAATATAGTATTGGATGTTGATGTCTCTGTCCAGCTACCAATTTGAATAGAGGAGTGGACAAAAGTAGTAAGAAGTAATATAGTATTACTTAGTAAACTAATTAAGTAAAGTTTTTGAACATTTCTTTGAGGGTTGGAAATAGTTAGTTAATTAAGTTGAAAGACCTTGTTGAATTTGGATTTTAGATTAGATTACAATGATAGGCAAACTTGGTCATTACTATGTGGAGGTGATGAAAGGACGAGTATTGGTGAACAATAAGAGGAATCTGAAATTTAATTATGATTCTTGAAGGAGATGTTTTATGAAAAAAAGGACTAGTATTGATTAGCTATAAAAATATCAGGACAAAGATCCTGATTTTTGTTCTTGAATGATATTTAATTTCTCTGTATTGTTGTGGGGTAGGACACACGAGGTGGAACCCATTGTGTTTGGTTGAATGTATCTATAATTTGCTGTTTGATTAAATCTTATCCTTTGTCCTTTGGGTCCCCAGTCATATGCTATACTATAACTTGTTGTTGTCATGTGAAAATTATGAGTGTGTTCAAGTTAAACCAGAGTCAGGTCATGGACTTCTTGATGCATGCCTAACTGCATTTTTCAACTACCATGAATCCAACACTGCACCAGTATTGCCTTCTTTCTTTCCTATTTACCATGGACAAGGTTGTTTTTTATTTTCCATTACCATAATTCAAACTCAATATAAATATATCGAAACAAACTTATATAGGTTCAGTTTTGGATTGACTTAGTTTAGCTTATTTATTTAATATTCACTCCTGAGATTATTTGAGAAAGCTGATGAAAATAACTGAACATGTCTATATGTTGTTTTCAATTTATTTCTATAAGTTTTCATTTATGAAAACAATTTATAGTTTATATAAAAGCAATTTGACTTATTTTATATTTTTTATCACAGAAATAACTTATGCATAGACACTTCTATAGTGTTTATGCTATAAGCTCTTAGTTAAGTTTTTCATAACAACTAAAGTTGATATGTTAATTGTTTTTTTGGTGTAGGTTCCAGATCAAGCAGGGCAAGGCCATTGCACTGGACATCATGCTTAAAAATAGCAGAGGACATAGCTCAAGGGCTTTCATACATCCACCAGGCATGGAGACTAGTCCATGGCAATCTCAAATCCACCAATGTTCTCCTAGGACCCGATTTTGAGGCTTGCGTCACAGACTACTGCCTGTCTGTGTTGACCAATCCATCTACCTTTGACGAGGTTGGTGATTCTGCACCCTATAGAGCTCCAGAGACTCGCAATCCAAATCACCAGCCAACCCCCAAATCTGACGTTTACTCATATGGTATTTTGTTACTAGAGCTTCTGACTGGAAAGTATGCTTCCGAGCTCCCATTCATGGTTCCTGGTGATATGTCAAAATGGGTGAGATCAATCAGGCACGACAATGGGAGCGAAGATAACAGAATGGATATGCTTCTTCAGGTGGCTACAACTTGTAGCTTGATCTCTCCTGAGCAGAGACCCACAATGTGGCAGGTCTTGAAGATGTTACAGGAAATCAAAGAGATTGTACTATTGGAGGATAGTGAAGTGGATGTACGCAGTAGTAATGCCGTTGCCATGTCTTAGTATTCTTTTTTGTTTTTTGGTATGTTAGGAGGATAGAAAGACAAAAGAGTAGTGTGAACTAGGGTTAAAATAATTAAGATTGAGGTACAAAACTTATGAATTTCACTATGAGGATTGCTATGTCGACACTTGTTTTTACACCAAGTGTTATACTCTATACATTGTTTTTCTTCACCGTTTATACGGTGAACAGTGTTTTTCTTAATAAAATAATTTTTATTTTTTTAAATTCAAAAAATATAATTATTTTTAAAATTTATTTTATAACACAAATATAAAGTTGTATCATTAACTACCTTGACAATTATATTAATCTAAAAAATGTATGTTATTAATCAATTATTTTATTTATAATTCATTAATTAATTTTACTGTTTCATTAATTAATAAAATATATATTATTAACTATACTCTTATACTAATTTATAAATGTATTAATCAATTTTTAGATTCTATTAATTAATTTTATTTTATTATTTAATATTTTTTATGTTTGAAAACTCATTAATCAAATTATAAATTGTATTAACTAAATTTTATACATAATAATTAAAATCTGTACGTTATATATATTAATTTTTTTATCAAAATATATATTATCCAAATTTTAAACTGTATTAATCAAATTTTAATATTTTATTAACTAAAGTAAATTTAGAGAAAAATATATAAAAAATCAAAATAATGTGTCAAGGGTAAAGTGGTGTCAAGATAGCATTTTTCTTTCACTATGTGATAATATTAATTATTAATTAGACTCTTGGAATGTTGTTAGAATGTGAGGTGCACTTAACTTCCTCATTTGGCCTTGTCTATTGCTGCTGCCTGATCTTGATTCCATTTAAAAAAAAAAAACAATCAGTTAAATTTATTAGCACTGCCTTGCTATTTGTTGTAACACAACTGGTTAAAAAAATAATACAATTCAAAGGAAAAAACAAGAAAAATATAAAAGTGTAGCTGATTTATACCTAGAAATGAAACATGTGGTTGTAGCAATAAAGTCCACAGGTGGGGACGAGGAAGTCTTTGCATGTTCATGAGCTGTATATAAATAAACTGCAAAAAAATGTTGCTGTGTTGATCAGGTGGCTTCTTTGTTTCGCGAGTGAATCATTGGTGAACATACCTTTGGAGTGCGTTTTTTTAATTGGTTTTGATACAAGTATTTATTTAATTAAAATTATACACGGTTTGATTTTGAATGACTTACTATAAAATCAACTGTGATTTATTTTGCATCGACTTTTAGATATTTAAATTCCAATTTTTTATTTATTTATTAATATTAACATTATAAAGATAGAAAAAGAAATTTGACACACAATATAATATTTGAAAGATTAATATTATGGAATACAATTATGTTAGAAGTGTATAAAATTACTAGGAGAAAGTTATATGTTCTATGTAGTGTAACATATGTATGTATGACAAAAAAAAATATATTTTCAGATAAAATTCGTCATGGATATGAAGATGGTAGTTTAATAAATTTTCATGGATAAATTTCAATATAAATATTAAAATAATTAATTCTAATATTAACCGTCGTCATTTTTCTTCTTTTTCTTTATCTTTCAGAGAGGGGTGATTTAGGATCAATTTTGATTTAAAACCACCTCTCTAAATAATTTTTGTTTCTCTATTAGTTAAATAAGTGATTTTCACATATATTTAGGGTTTCTTTTGTTTTTTTTTTTTATGATTTCGTCGTTTTAGTGCATCGGTGTTTGTTTTGATTTCCCGTTTGCGCGATGCATTTTGTTTTTCCATCTTTGTGCGGTGTTCATTTGTTTCAGGTTGAAATATTAGTCTCGATCTAGTGCAGATTTAATTTATAATTGTTGTGCCATTTACGTACAGATCTGCAGGCATGAATATTTCGAACATTTCAATAGAGTTATATTCATATTTGTAGGCTTATGCAATTTGACGTTTTATGCTATTAACATGGATGATGTGAGTTTGTTTGCAGATTCATTCTTTTTGTTTTTGGCGATTTTGAATTTGTATTGCAACGATGTACTCTAGCACTTTGAATGAATGAATATAGTTTATTTTTAGTCACAAAATAAATTCACACATAAAGTTAATGAATATTTAAATATATGTTTGTTAAAGGGTATGTGTTCTAGCGTAGGAATACTAAACTGTTAGCTTGCCTATATGAATAGAGAGAGCCTCAAAGATAGATTTATGTAAGTATGATTGGGGATTTGAGAGCTACACTAGCAGTGCGTATTTTCTCAAGAATATGTGTCTTGCTTATCTCTCTGGCGGAAGCACCTTATATAGCATTTGTTCTAGCCTTCATTAAGAGATGTATTCATGAAGTGATCCTTCATTTTGCTCAATTACGCTCATTTGGCAACGTCCGCCGTCAGCCATGATTGCCGTAATTAATCTCTTGTAATGCTGATGTTTAATAAATTAGAGACCGTTTAGGGAGTTACATTTGGGCTCTACACGTGACCCTTCCCTGACACCTAGGTCGCGTTCTATAGAGCATTACCCGGGGATAGGACGCGACCTAGCCCCATGGTCTCGAGGACACTAACCAGAGGTACAAACATCTATGCTTTCTTGTCTTCTCGTCACCCTCCTTAAGCCGACTATAGGTCCCAACCCGACATACATATTTCGAGATATACATAAGCCCCTCAGACATACATGTTGACATCAGGATGTGGTGTTCGGTCATAATTTATCCCGGAATACTTCTAGTTTTGAACCCAAAAAATATTTACACGTTCTGAACCTTTTCGTGTACGTGGACGACAATGGATAGGCAAATCTTTTGAGTGATTTCTTCCCAGTGTAATAATGACTTTTTATGGGGACTTGATTATAGGTGATTGTTCCCCTACTGCTACCATCATTTACTAAGGATCTTTATTTAAGCCCTAATTTTCCTCCTTTCTTATATCAATTCTCACTGTTGGCAACTTTCGTAACGCTCTCTTCATCAGCGAATCCTTCTCAAATGCAAAGCACACTCTTACTGGGTATTCTCCTCTTCTTTATTCCTTTTTACTTTATTCTTATTTCCTGTTATTTTCATAAGAATGGTTACCATAAGGGAGTGTGATAGCGTTGTCAATATTATAAAATCCAAAAATGATGAGGAAAAAAAGCTTTGTGGGATAAGTGCATGTGAGAGATGCAAACTGTCTTAGGCGTAGAAGAGTATACTCGAGTTGTGAACACTATTTATAACGACATCCTCACTTCTGAAAGTGATTCTGACTGCGCCTCTTCATCGTCTGGTTATATGGAGATGGTGATGGAAACCTCTGCTCCCTTTGATCTAGAAGTAATAGGCTATAAGAACAGTTTTTTTTGTCTTTGAAGAACATCTCCTCCACCGGGAACGAGGACGACGTCATCTTGGAGGCTTGTAATTCTAGAGAACGATTGTGCATTCTCCGTCCTGAAAGCTCCAAAGAGGAGTTCTTTTATTTTTATCCGGGAGTGGTGGAATATTTTCAAGTTGGAATTCCTTTCTCGAATTTTGAAGCAGGCATTCTAAAGGCCATGAATGTGGCTCATTCTCAACTCCGACCTAATAGTTGGGGTTTCATAAAGGCCTTTAAAATATTTTGTGAGGCTCTGAACATTATCCCAACCATGGTTTTATTCTTTTTATTCTTCGGGGTGAAGGGAGTTGAGAAGCTTAGTTGGGTTTAGATTAGTGGGATCTCTCAGAAGAGTTTTATTCAAGTTTATACCAGTAATTACAAAGGCTTTAAAGACCATTTTGTTCAGGTTAAGTGCGGGCCACGGTGTCCACAAGTGTTGTTGGCCCCTGAAGGTCACCCCAACTTTCCTTACTATTTGACCTGAGATCTCCTTCCAATTTATGTTTTCTCTTATAAGAAATTGAGTGAGTTAGATATCCAGTCTCTAGAAATTCTTGACTCATTTCGTATGATGAGGGTGAAGGAGTTGATGCCTCTAAGTGATAAAGAACTTATGTCTTTCCTTGGTAAATGTCTTGAATTTAGTCCATTAATGGACATACCATAAACTTCATATTTTTAAATTCCTAATTATTTCTCATCTTTCTTATTTGCAGATATGATGGCTGATCTCAGTGTCACTTAGCAGAAAAAGTTAATGCTGGAAGCCCATGTTTCCAGGAAAGGAGCCGGAGGAGCCACCCAATCCATATGTGACCTTACTGGCCTCGAAACTCGACTTTTAAAAAGAAAAAATGTGACTGGCACCAAGGCGGTCTCTGACTCATCCGAGCCCTAACCTTCAATTCCTCCAGTTCTTGAGGAGGTTCATCAGGGCACTCCCAAGAAACTAAAGACTTTGATGAGTAGTGAAGCTTGTCGGGATGATATGGAAATATCCTCCTTAATGAAAGACTCCGGGGAGGGTGCTTCTAATCCGGCCGGGGAGTTTAAGTTTTGGTCAAACAACTTTGATGGGATCAAGTTCTTCTACGACCACCTCAAAGTGGATGAAGACGTTAAGAAGGTGAAGTTCGTAGGAGGCCAGAAAATGTTTCAGAATATTAGCTCCTATCTTATGAGGTGTGTTATTTTGTCTAGGGATTTGTTTGAGTCTAGTGATGACTATGAGTAGAATGAGTTGAAGCTCCAGAAGGAGCCTTTCGAAATAGAAGCCTCGAAGGGAGACCTTTGAGTCAGAGAGCAGGAAATCCCTCACTCAGCTTACTGACAAGCTCAAGTTTGTGAATATTATAAATTATGAGCTCAAAGAAGTTCTCAAGAAGTCCCAGATGGAAGTTCTCTCTACCGTTGATGAAGCCTTTGATCTAGATAAAGATCAGGCATTATGCCTTTACCTGGATCTGGATTTGTCTGAGATGGATTATTTCAAGGTGGTGCAGGATAGCCGCCTTGTGGATCCTGATGAAGGGGGATAAATCTCAAACTCCTCCATTGGATTATGATAACCCTTATGGTATGGAAAGCAACAATGGAAACATTCAGGAGAAGCCAGCTGCTTAGTTCCATTTGGTTCTA